ATCTCTTCAATGCAAATCAATGTTATGTATTGTAAGCGCAACTCGCTTATCTATTCTGAAATTGTTGTGCCCACCCCCTCCCCTTCCATTTGAAAATTCCGCCCCAGATTACGTAGATGTTGCGCTTTCAAAAACACCGGCATCCATCAACCACTATCCCCCGACCACAAAGTAATTGGATGAATTTAGAACAAAATATAAAACAAGAACCATACAACTCATTTGTAATTCGGTATGAATTGAAAATTAAACACTGGAGTTTCACACCTTTCACATGAAGACAAGCAAATTCCAAGCCGTTGACTTACTAACAAATGAAAATTACTTACCAATTCAACAGGAACACGGAATCTGGGGATTAATTTGAAATACAGTACGAAGCGAAATTAATGTAAATTTAGTCGAGTTTCCAGGGGGTTTTCATGGTCCCTGAGCACACCCTTATTCAAACGTGAAAAAATATAGTGTGATCAGTGGAAGTAAATGCATGGCAAGCTAAGTTAAACGTTAACGCATTGGTTTGTCCATTTCAGTATTGCTTTGCACATTTCGCTTATACTGGTCCCATGTTTGTCATTGTTCTTTCATTTTAACAAAACATTTATAATCTATCCTTAGAATAATTTTTTTAATCCTAACAAGTGTCACTGGACTTTCCGATTTTGGTTATAGCAAGAAACTTGGCCATTACAATGTAACCTTTGATCAAATGTACATTTTTTACACCCCTAGCGTTAGCAGTTCTTTTCAGATATTTATTGTTTGGATTGTTCTTCTTGTTTTTTATGTATTATGAAATAAATGAATAATTTACATGAGACCGCCCTCACACAATATTTTGCATTAATCGGCTCTTGAAATAGGGTTAACGGACTTTGTTTGACCGCAGAGTCTTAAACAATAATCAACAGTAATTTTTTTTTCGAATCCAGTCTTGTTTGTTGGTTCAGGATGTTTAAAATGGGCGAATAACTGTTCCCTGATCCGCACCAAGTGTTTCGATTGCGTTTCCCATACTCAAGTGTGTTCAAAGCCTCGGTAAAGTGACTTGGATTATCGTGTGAAAGTTACAACCTATCAATGTGGACCCAGTTCGAATCCCATTTATTTTTTATTCTCGTCGAATTTTCCCATTTTTACTGCTTTAATTTGTTAGTTTATTATCTCATTATTATGTTTCCTGGCCGATGGAGGTTGATTATGTTTGGTTTTTTTTTTTTCATGGTGATATTCCTTTCCAGTTACGACTCTTCCATTTTTTGAAACAATGAATCTGAGATTGAGAAATTAATACACAATGTCTAGCCTAGGCCTATTAGAAAAGATTAGGTTTCAATCGCTTCTTGAAAATGATGCCCGATTGAACATGTAGCGTTCATCTACCACTTACAATCCCCGCACAATGATAATAGTAATAATCAATAGCATTTGTAATGGCAATAAATAAATATATTGCCAATAGGCGTTTGTTCATGATGAGGGTTACCAAATGTCTGGCCCAGAATAGATTAGGTTTCAACCGCTTCCTGAAGACGATAGGCATTGACCATGTACTATTCGTCTTCCACCTACAGATAATCCAGACCTTGGTTTTAGTTACTGAAAAATAAAATCAATAATAATAATAATAATAATAATAATAATAATAATAATAATAATAATAATAATAATAATAAGATGATGATAATTTAACTCATTAATAATAATAATAATAATAATAATAATAATAATAATATAATAATAATAATGTATAACAACAATAATAATAGTAATAAACATATGTAAAATTGTAAAGCTCTGTCTACACTATCGAATTTTGTGACAAAAAAAAGTGTGATATGGCCATGTATGGGCATGATGACATCACATCATGACCATATATAGGCATAGCATTACTATATATGGGCATGTCACATTTTTTTGTCAAAGAAAATTTGATAGTGTGGATAGAGCTTAAGTATAATTATGTATATTATTATCATTAGGCCTATTGCTATTATTAATATTAATATAAGTGCTCTCATTAAAATTGTTACTATTATTATTAAGTGATGATATTGATGATGTAGGCCTAGTGGCAATGATGTAGACCTACATTAAGCCTACTGGCGTTAGTATGCTTTAGGCCTATCTTTTTTAAAGTGTGCATAAATACATCATATAATTTATATTCCATACTGTGATTGACGCATGTAAATTGCCTGTCGCAGTATAACCATGGTATAACTCTATTATCCTATAAGCAGTTTATTATTATTATTATTATTATTATTATTATTATTATTATTATTATTATTATTATTATTATTATTATTATTATTATTATTATTAACCGGTTTTATTCCAAAAGCCAAGGATATTCAAATCAGTGAAATTAATCACTAAAGACTTATTAATATTATTTGATGATCGAATGATTTAATGGAAACTTAGTAACACTGTAGTACAATTTGTGGTACGGAAGAGGGAGGTGTAGTACGTCAATCGGACGCCTTCCATTTATATTAAATTTAAATTTAACAAAAAACTAAAATTAACTGACTGAAAGACATGTTTGTCATGACAACTCATCATAATAGTATCGATTTAATAATACTCGCCCGATCGGTCGATTCACTATGTGACTAATCACAAATGGGCGTAGCAACAAGGTTTGCTCTAACCTTGTGTAATTGCAGTCATTTCATTTATATATTTATTTTTCTAGCGAAATAATCATTACACACGTCCCCTTCCTGTGGTGCGTCACGTTGGCCCATCAACAATCCATTATTATTCATTTATTATCTGTTCATTCGTCGATGTATTTACAACATGGGCAGTTCACTATCGGTTTTCCACGTAATTCATTATCAAGTAGGTAGGCCTAGTTTGGTGGAAATGACTTCGGTACGAA